TGATTAACAGAGCTCTTGGTATGAAGACGTTTTATTTCCTCCTTACTTGGCCTGAATGGAGTGATCATCATAGCCTTCATCAAAATCAGGCCCTATTCACTCAGAATTGCTCATAAGGAGCACCCAGCACCCTTTTGGAACAGCACTTGCCTGGATGTGAGGGGAATTGTGCAAGATAATTTTGGAGGAAATCTAATTTATGATTCTTGCAATTGAGCGTAGGTACAATGGTCATGAAAATGTGATTTCAAATCGAAGGGATGCTAACTGAACCCTGATGAATTATAGGTATTGTTTTGTGGCGACCCGAGAGTGTTTTTTTCAAAGGGAACCAATAGTAATATCACCACTGGATGCCAATGCGATCCCAGGGGCCTTTTGGTTCAAAATCACACACACTAGAGGTTTTGGGCCTCTGCCTTCAGCTTCATGAAGTCCTTGGCAGCTGGGGAGAGCCAATGGAGCTGTTATCACAGAATGGGAATGAATTCTCTGGAGTGGCAGCTGGGCTTCTTGGGGTCTTACCAATAATCACAGGAAACTGCAATCCAATTGCTAAAATAGGGGAAAAAACATGCTAAAGGAGGGGAAGGTCTAGGGTGTTTCAGGGAATCAGAGTCAGATTCCTGTTGGAGGCTTGGTAAAATCTGATTCTAAAGCTGCATTAATTGATTTTTTGGCCACTTTTTTGGGCAATGTTGACATATTATCAATTTGTAAAGCTGATATGGCAAGCATGCTAGCAAACAGTGGCTTATTTACACATTGAGCAGATGCAGAGCAATATTCATTTGGAGTTGTGTTTCTGTCCACCCGAACAATTTTGGCCCAACATTCACTCACTCTCAGCTTGACAGCTCAAGCCGTTTGGTGCAGTGATGTGAACTGGAAGACAGAAATATATCTGTGAAGTGCCAGATTCAAAGTATGACTCAGTCAGCAAAGTCCTGGTTTCTTGCTGTGTGTCTACGTCTCTGTGTTGTCTCACAGTCTTTGCTTCATTTTTCCGTGCAGTATCGAACTGTTTAGGGTTTTTTTCTGTGAGATGCCAGGTGAGCAGGTGCTTCATCCCTCTCATGTTTGCGCCTGAGCTCTGCAGCCAACATGCACATCTTATTTCCACTTGTTGGACTCTTTGTCTTGGAGCATAATATTTCACAGAGTGCATGGTAACTTGCAGAGGTCAGTATTGATCCATTTTATCTAAAGGGGGTTTTTGGTTGTAGAGTCGACTTACAATCTATGAGGGAAGCTAATAGACATCAGGGGCGGATTTATGGGGTGGCCAGAGGATGTAGGAGACTTTAGCGGTGGCAGAAATATATGCTGTTTCAATTGCAAACAATCACATACATCAGTATTTGCTCTGAAAAGCTCCCAAATGAAGATACTTTAGCTCAAAAACATTGCATTGTTGTCACACATTAAAGCATTGAATAGAAACATTTAAAGGTGGCATTAGAAATCAATAAATTGTTTGATCTCCAAATCAACAACATTTTTCCAAATACATGTCTTTTGTCATTAAACTTAACCCTATCACTGAGGCTAAAATGTGGCCATAACAGATCATTAAATCAATTCCTAAATCAATTTTTTTTTTTTTTAATTAATCTAAATTAAAGCTGCAAGCAGCAATGAACAGGCCCTCGTAGTCCCTGTGCGTCGGGCTATGCTACGGCCACGTCATGTATCACTCGTACACCCCACCATGGGGTGGCTGTGGCTCTGGCTCAGAGGCAGAGTGGGTTGTCCACTAATCCTCAGAACTCACATGACGATAGCCATACAGTGCTGGAGGAGGCTGATGACTCTAAGACTATGAATATTGGTATGGAGATGTGTTCAGGGCTGGACTGTTAGGAGACATGTGAAGTTTGGGGCTGATTGGGGGTTTGCATTTTTCAGGGGTGGCAGCTAACACCTCAACTGCCCCCCTTCTAGATCTGCCCCTGATAGACACTGAAATTACATTTGTGTTATTCAGTAGCTCTTGGCCATAATACAGTATAGCAGTGGTTCATGGGGGGGTCATGAGGCCTTCTTGATTTTAAGGGGTAGAAGACAAATTTAAAATGATATATGCAGTAAGCCTATGACTTAGCATTTCATTCATTTCTGTGAAGAACTAAATTAAATGGTTATTTTTTAAAGTTTGAATTATTATTTAGGATGTAAATTTAAATCTCATTGGTCCAAGACCTGAACACAAGCTATTGTCACAGAGCCTTCACTCTGTGATAAACAGCCTCATCCTGCATTAGAACACAACACAGTAAAAATATAACCTGCTATCGGGTCAACATGTCAACATTGTCATTGTGTGCATGTTAGCATATGGCCGCTGTCAATTTACTTCACCGTGACAATTGGGTGTCAGAAACTTGCTGTGGACCGAAAAAATGTGGTTTTCTTTACAATGAGCATTATAGCTTCACAGAGCAGAGACTTATTGTTGCTTCAAAATCTCAAGCAAGTCTTTCAAATGGATCCTCTCAAATTAAAATGAAAAGCTGCATTGTCACCGAAGTGAAAGTGAAAGTTGGTGACAGCAACTTCAAGTTTTCATCATCCTTGCTGCACCTCATTCACATATTATGAATCACATTTTGGTGGTATTCATGGGTCCCAGATTTAGATATGAAGTGTGTGTGTATAAGGAATTAAGTTAAGGAATTGCGTTTGGTGTTTGAAACTTTCATTAAATATTTGAAGAGTGAGATTTCTTAGATGTGGTTTTGATTTCCCTCTGTGGTGATGTACTTTCTGTTTCTGAGAAGTCATGCAGGGGAATTGTTCCAGACCCCATCCCCTACCATCCAATAGCATTCACTAGATGATATGTAGATTTTCTTTTGATACAGATTCATTTTCTACTTGAAAAATACTTTGTATGGCAAAGGCAGAGCTCTTTTACAGCACAGGCTGATTTCAATTTTCAAAGTCAAACACATTTGTATTTCACGTAACAAAGGATAATACGGCCACTGAGCAGCCGAGCTCTCATATCTTTAATAGATATGTACCTTCAAATCACCTTTTCCTGAGTGGTAATTTGGCTGGTACACTAGACGGCTGCTACAGAATGTCTGATAATGTTCTCAGCGAGCATTAGTTTGATGCATGAGTCAGAAAACTGATTGGTTACAGCAGAGGTATCATTTAGCTGAATGTTTCTGCGACACCTCTATTAAATGCTGTGGCTCTAAGCACACACCGTCGGGCTAGTTTTTGAATTAACGGACACGGTAATCCCATCAACATTCATAATGGTAATGTAAGACAAAGACACTTGTCATGAGAGTAAATGAACAGCTCACGCAGCGTGCTATATGCAACTTGCTGAAAGAGGAATGAAGGAGAAAATGAGGCAGTAAACTGCAGACATTTTTGGCATGTAAAGAAAGTCTGAGTAGCTAAAGAAGACAGATTAATGAGTGGATGTAGAACTTACATTTGTCACTTTAACAACAGGACCTATCCCTCTGAACACCTCTTGGATGGACTCAGCAGAGAAAGGAGCATCTGCCCATCAACCTTGATCAGATGCAGCGGGTGTCAATGTGTACGAGCTCAGCAGGATACTACATGTCCCCTGCTGAGTCACTGTCATGAAGCAGCTGCTATGAGGGACAAAGGTGCACAGTACTGAACAGAAGTGTCTTTTGTTTTGGGCACTGGCAGTATTGCTCAACTGTGTTCTCAAGGCTTACTGCACTTCTGCCGCTCAACGTGATCATGGTAAGCATTATATCTGCTTAAAGGACCAGTGTGTAGGATTTACTGGCATCTGGTGGTTTCAGATTGCAACTAACTGAACACTGCTCGTGTCTGGTTCTGACAACCTAGGAAGGAGAACAGGCTGGGAAGGGTGTAGGAGAAACTACGGTGGCAGCAAAACTTGCAAACAAGGAGAAGGGCCCCATTTACAGTCAGTGTTTGGTTTTTCCCTTCTGGGCTGCTCAAGAAACATGGTGGTTCAACCTATTGGTTCGTGGAGTACCGTTTTGAAGCCTTGAGTTCTGCATTTTGGCTAAAGCATACCCTGCTTTATCATCTATTTTACTCTAAATGGGACCATAACTTACTAAATGAACATCATGCTGTATGGAAGAAGACTTAAACTATCGATTAAGACCATAAACTTATTAGGAAACTGTTTACTGAGCTCATAAATCAAGTCAGAAGTCGGTTAATTTCTCCATTAAAGTGAATGGGATCGGTGTGTTATTGCAACCATTGGAACTCCCCCTGCTGGCCTCTACATAGAATGCAGGTTTAAGACCCTTCGGCACTGGATTCACTTCAGAGACCCGGAAGCTCTGTCCATTATATACACTGTCAATAGGTTCAACATGGCGGACCCCATGGAAGGCGACCTGCAGCATCTGTAGATAAAAACGTCTCATTCTAAGGTAACAAAAACACAGTTCCTGTGGAAAAAAATTAATAAATTCCTAGGTTTCTGATAAAATAAAACAGCGCTCGTAATGCCATTTTCTGCAACTGAATGAAAACAAACAGAGCAGAGAAAGATTAAGGTTATGTTAATTGAGTCTCATTCCCAAGTTGTCAAATACCAAATTAGTTTTATAGGTCATCATGACACAGTAGTCTGTTCTTCATATCATACATCACAAAGTTATCGTCAGTGGAAATTGAAAATGGTGTGACCCAGTTACCTAGCTAGCACACTGGCCCAGTCACAGTGTACAGTATATATTTTTCGGGCCTTTTTATTGTGTTTATTTGATAGGGACAGCTGAAGATTAACAGGAATGGGGGGTAGAGAGAGGGGACGACACGCAGCAAAGGACTCAGCGTCAGTTCATGGGTCGCCAGCTCTACTGACTGAGCTAACCGGGCGCTCCACAGTGTACAGTATTACAGGGAACTCAAATTATATTCAAGTCATCAGTGCACAATTCGTGGCATCATTTTCTATGCCTTAACAGTTAGCGCTACCTAAACCTAAAGTCACAAAAATACAAAACAACAGATTAGCGTGAAGAGTTTATTTCTCTCTTAAATACATTCAAGTTGACACACTTATTTCCTGAGGCCTTTTGTTTCCTCAGAAACTCAAATTCTGATTTGCATATTTCAAAGCCTATCAAGTTGTAAATACTCTGTTAAAAACCCTTGGATAGGTCAGTAAAAATCAGTTACTAAATGTGAAAAAAGTATCTGAATGAAACAATAGGCTGACAAACTCAACAGGACCTAGGAGTGAGACACAAATGGAAATGAAACATAAAAGAAGACATTTTGTAACATTGCCATTAACCTCAAGGTAGACAAGGCACTTTGGAGCCTTCTTTGGTTTTATAAAACCTCCAAGATTGACAGAGGTGTAACAATAGAATTTCATTCATTCATTTCGATCAGGTGATTTCATCAAGTAAACAGGCAAACTGAACCATGATCAACTGTAGAACAACTATACAATACAGTCAGGTAGAGAACATACTATTTAAATAAAATACAATGTGACTGTTCTCCACCATATTAACTTAAATACTTGCAGTAAAGCATTGATCTATAGGCATTTTGCTTGGTCAATCAGTGCAGCTATTAAGACATTCATTTCCAGGGGAAAATCTGAATAAATAAAAACATATGTGAAAGAACACAACTGTCAGTAAGATTTGATGAACATCAGAGATCTGAAACAATCAACCTGTCTCAGCCTGTGAGCTCATTTTTTTTATCGAGTAAAAAGGCAGTCTTGGCACATGCGGAATACAAGACAGCAAACACTTTCTGTAATTAAATACTTCACTATCAACACTCCATGAGGAGCTGAAGGAAAATAAATTACTTTAAGACAGACAAAAACATGTGAATTGAAGCTGTCTGTGTCTGTGCAAGGTCAAGCAGGCATGTAATTAAGCCAGGTTTGACGACACACGACCCTACATTTCCCCATCAGAGCCGACGGTACAGTGAGATGCTCGCACTGAAGCAGGAGCAGCAGCTTCAGTAAAATATGCACTTTGTAAACGTACAAGTGAGGGGTTTTATTTTCTCACTGACCACTATGGGTGCTAGCCTTGTGCACTGCTACCCCAAATAGTCTTGACAAAGCAGAAGCACCAAGGACCTCAAACAGCACCCATGCTTTCTCTTTTATGAGATTGGTATCCTTATGAGGTGCGAATGCGACCATCATTGGATGATGCAAAAGATGACTCCATTAAGGACCTGACACCTTAAGTGTTATTCATGAGACTAATGACAGTACCCCATTATGATATATAGCAAAGGACCACTATGGGCTACTGCCTTGTGCCATTCTAGCCCAAGCAGTAATCCAATACTGCTTGGGCGTGCATAGGCTTTCAAGAACCTCACATTACGTGGTATTGTTGGAACTATAGGTTTTCAGAGGGGGTTCACCTCTCATTACTCCTCGCAGAGGTAATGACCATAGTGAATAGCATTCTCCTTGATAATCTCTGCTGTTCGCCTTTGATTCAGTTCAAGTAATACTTTCAGCAGGTCATTTAAGCTGGCTCCTTTGCCCTCTTTCTCCACCCAAATATTCAGCAATTCGTGGACCCTGTCGTCATAGAGGAGTTGTTCTTTGCTCTTGATCACATTGTCGTTAATGCCAAGGTTACGGAAGAACCTCTTGTGGTAGCTGACGTCTATTTCCTCAAAAAAAGTAAAGCATTTCCTCAGAGATTCTTCACCTGCAAACAAAGATAAAGACCTTGGTCACCATTGTAGTCATTATTATGAACATTTCAAACATGTACATAAGTAAGTACACCAGACTGAGGCTGAGGCGGTCCATGTGGATCTCAGTAACATAAGGATGGCTCTAACATTTGAGAGAAGGAATGAATATAAAAACACTTTACCATTGACAGGAACAAGCCTGGGGAAAGGCTCATCTTCCTGTATGACATAGGAGACAAAACAAGCATTAATATCCAAAAACGTCTGTTGAAATTCTTCATGATTCATAAACTGTAACTCCTCTCTTATTCAGTTACTTGGCATGTCTAAAAATACCACGCACACTTGCTCGTCAGGCTCCAGTGAACTGAATTAAGAAATCCTTTGTTTGCCAAAGAGATTTCTAATAATTCAATGTTGTATTTCAGGTTTGAATGGAAAGAAAACAGACTGATCAGGTATGTCTCTTCATGTTAATCTTTAACTAACAGGTACAACAAGGAACATGTGACTCATCAACTTCTGCTTCCAACATCAACTCTGAACAACACAATTTACAGTGAGCCGGCAACTGTGTCACAACACAGATAAAGATACCACATAAGACAAATTTCCCAATACACTAATGACTCACTCTGGTTGATCAACAACTATAACCACTGTTACAGCGGACAGTGGAAAGTTGAATTTTAATTGTAGTTACATTTATATTTATAGAGCGCTGAAGGGATGACGTTTTCTTGTAAGTCAACCCAGAAATTAAATGACACTTTGCCAGTGCAATTTAGATTTTAGATTCCGATTAGTGGACAACCCACTCTACCTCTGAGCCACAGCTGCCTCAGTTTAATGTCACCAACAACCTCTGTAGTCTCATTTAGCCACTTGTTAGCAACCCCCTTTTTTAAGACACATAAAAGCTTTAAAATTCACAGGTGGGGTATTACTGATGTATTTTATGTCGTAGAACTAAACATGAAAATCTCCTAAGCTTGTGTTAACCACAGAATTTATTTCAGCCATCTAACCAAAAACCCATCAGCTCTGAGACTCTTTTTTCCAGTTTGTATGAGTCATTCCCGCTGCACTGTATTATGATAGCAATAATAAATTGTGTGCCATTTTGTAGAAATAGTAGTCTTTTTGATATAAAAGTTGTTGTTACATCCTCATGTTAAATGACAATGCATTTGTGATGTTTTCACAAGGCAGCAGTATTGAAGAGTTGTCATGCACTTTGTCAAGTAGGAATCAAAGTGGGGAAACTGGAGGAGGAGTACAGTCAGGACCAGTGAAACCAGTCAGCTGAGGACATCTGCCTTTAAAACAGCAAAGCGTTAGAAACTAACAATAGAGTAAGCAGGTGAGAAGGAAAGAAGCAAGGATGGAAGCAAAGATTGAAGCAGGGGTGGAAATGAGCTGTTGCTCTCACCCTCCGGTTGGACTGTCGGGGGACCATGGGGCAGGCTCGGGGGGGAGATGCGGGGACGGCATAGACGGGCAGGCCGGTTAGACTGTGCTGGGAGTTACTGGATGAGCTGCTGAGGCTTTCACACAGCATTTTGTGCTCATCCTCCACATGAGCGGAGGATTTGGCTCTCACCAGTTGCCGGGATAGGATCAGACTTGAGCTCAGCTGTCGGGGTTCTCCGTTCCTCCCTTCCTCAGTGGGATAGTTGTCACTGTAATGCTGGAGAGGATGGGGGACATGTTCAAACAAGTCCTTTTGAAGAGAGACTCATCCTATTCCTCCTATTCATCTTTATTCTTTGAATAAAATATAGCCATAAAACCTGAAATCTTCCAATCAGCTTATTCTACTATTATTATTGACTCACCGTTCCCGCTTTCAGCCCGCCAGGTAGATCGCTCTGAGAATCTGCAGAAGTATGTGAGGACAGGATTATGCAACTTTAAGAAATTCCCCAAATTTTCTCAAGTAGCTATTTGGCTCACCTGGGTGTGACTTGAATTTACGTTAAAGCGTAAACCGGTGAATACCAACGGGCTGCTGCTCTCTTTTTGTGTTCTAACATTCATTGCAGCAGCTCAGAGCAGGGCATCAGACTGATCCAGTACCAGTTTGTGCTGGATTTGGTGGAGTTTACCCACAGCATGCTTAACGGTAGATAATGGAGCAGTACTTTACTGCACTTGCCAAGAACTGAAACAGTCCAGTTTCAATTTTGGTTGACAACAACATACACCCTTATAGGAAGTGGTTTAATATGTTTCTTATGTGAGCCTACCTGATATTTGCCTTTATCCTACTACACTATATTTCAACATAGTCAGCAGGAAGTGTTAGCACATCCTCTGCAATAGCACCTGTTGCTGTATGATCACCAGCTAAGGGCAATCAACGTCATACCTGCCATCTGCAGTCCAGTTCAGCAGGTTTCCTTACCCACACTGCTACAGAAACATGTGGTATGATGGCAAGGCTGAGTGGAGCACAGCCCATGTATGTCAAAGACAAAGCCAGCTGCATCATCACTGTTGACTTTTCATCATCACCCATTCTGTACACTGCTTCTGTGTTCTACACCCTGTACCTCGCCGGTATGATCAGTCTAAACTGTGGTTATTGAAGGGCACACTTTTGAAAGGGAAAACCTCTGAAAGGTTGTTCATTGTTGTGTTTTAACTAAACCATGCTAGCACTGTTAGCATGGCGCATGTTTAATAGCTTAGTCCATGGGTGTCAAATGTAAATGGGAAGCCAGAGCCAGAGGTGTATGTCCACATTCAACAACCAAATTTGGCTATGTTATGTCTCTGGAAGCACATGCTACATAAAACATGCCAACTGATTGTACTGATGTATTGCAGAGTAATTCACAGCACTGAAGCAGATTAAGGCCTGTCAAAGCAGTAACAAGTACCGTAGGTGTTTATCACTACAGATATGAAACCAAACAATAAGAAACGTTTGAGAATAGTGTTCAAGCACCTTCTTAAAAAGTGATCTTAACATGTGCATAGTTTCTAAACTCTAATTGGAACCATTTAGAGCTGAATAAATTGGCTGATTAATCAGTCATAATTTGTGTTTAAGTCATTTCTCAAGTTAAAATGCCAAATGTTCCCCAGTTCCAGCTTCTCAATTGTGAATATTTGCTTCTTTTATTATAGGTTTTGGACTTTTGCTTGGGGAAAAAAAGCAATTTCATGACATCACCTTGGGAGTTATTCAATTGCAATGGGGTTTTTATTTTCTTTCTATTTTCTGACATTTTAGAGACTACACGATTAACCAGGAAAATAACTGATCAATTAAAAGACAATGAAAATAATCATTAGTTGTAGCCCTAGAGCTACCTTACTTAACCCCCATGTGCAATCCAGTTTTGGTTGGTAAGAATCAGACGAGGCATCATGATACAGGGGAAATGTTTGACTGTGTCCTGAAGTTTCTTTGTGGTTCCAACTGAACAGCTTTTATTGATGAATGTATCAGTACCCAGAAAGATGGACTGGTACTTTGCAGTGTAGAGAATCTGCACTTGGGATAGAATACTAGATTGTTATAATTAAAGATCAGAAGACACTGATCACATTTGTGTTGTGTTTACTTTTCAGAAATCTAATCCTTTGCAAAGTCTCAGTTTCTTATTGTTCTGTTCATTGTAACCCGATTGTGGCAAAATATGTTTTTATAAGCTAAAATGTTTAGTAACCATGAACAACACTTTCTTCTCATACTTCCAAAACATGGAAATGTAAGATTAGGATATGAAATATTTCCCAGAAGTAAGTTTTTGTACACTTTAAAATATACTGCGTTGTGTTTGTTTTTCTCTTTCCACCTACCTGTTGCTCTACGACGTCTCCGCTTGAACCAGAAAAATCCAATTACAATTACACCAACCACAGCAACAGCAAACAGTGTTAATGGCACAATCATCGAGGCCTTTGCTGATAAAAAAAAGAAGAAAACTGTATTAAGATAATTGACAACCATATAGTGGTAACAATGTAGTCATAACTAGAAACCATTTACAGTCTGAGTGAATCCCCCATTGAGCCATTAATGCCATAAATGTCACACTTTGTTTCTTTTCTGGTGTTGGAGCTTCACATATATGTAACGTTATGCTTTGCATGTCGCAGCGATGACGGGCGTCTTTATAACGTTCGAGGAGCTTTTCAGGTGGCATTAGCTTCCACTGAGTCGTGTACCTGAAGCATAGTCAGATGTGGATGAGATTTTCTTGCACTCTGTGTTGGTAGTAGAGGTGCAGTTCCTCACAATCTCTTCATCTTTTCCACACCTAGTTTGAAGGCAGGCAAAAAGATACATTTAAAGCATGAAGGAATTAAAATGATTTAGGCTGACTTAAGAACATACTCCAATTGTGAAATGAGTGAAATAAAAAGGATTACTCTCCCGTCACTCGCTTTAAACGGACCATGTGTCAGGTGTGTTGTCCATTTGCTTTGCAAACACTCACCTGGAACATTTCTTGCACACCTCACATGCTTCGTCAGGAGCACAAAATCTTCCCGATTTGCACTGACACTCAGTATCTTGAGTGTGCGTACATGCCCTTACAATTTCCTGATCTGGAAAAACAACAGACACACACAAAAAAGCCTTGTTAAGTCTGAGTTTATGCTCGGAACACTTTGAAAAGGTTGAATATAGATTTTTCTTCCACAGTCATTCTAATCAATAGCGTGAAGCCGTCAAGCAGAATTACCTGAGCGACACTGTGTGCACTTAAAACACTGCTTCAGACCGTTGGTGTGCTCAGTGTATGTTCCATCATCGCATTCCTCACACGTCCCTTGCTCTCCTGCTCTGGTGCAGGGCGATATCATACGTGTACCTAACACACACAAAAACAACAACTTAGCTTTCAGCTGAACCTGTCAGTCTTGCTAAATAATAACCAATCACAATCACAACCTGCTTCATATCTCTGCTGATTGATTTCTGATTCCAGCTGCTGACAGAACTTAAGTCTCAGAGGACTAAATCAAGTGTGGCTGCATGTGGCTTACCAGCTGGACAATTTAAGCAGCAGATGTTGCCATTGACGTACTCCAGGTTGTCTCTGCAGCGGGCGTATCGCAGTGTTCTGCTGCCTCCCAAGTCACGGCCAGACCGCGGAAGCGCCCCCGTGAGTTGGAAAAGACAGATCGATAGCGAAAAAACCTTTGGAAAAACAGATGATTGCAGTCAAAACTAATTTCTTGTTTGTTTTATTGTTTTAGATCAGTTGACTCCTAAATGTATCCTCTGGTAAGTTAAATGGGCAATTGATGATCTGTTTTATAGACAATAATAAATAATAAAAGAGCTGACATTTTATGAACGATATATTCCTTATAAAGAAAAATAGTGGCAAACTAATCGAAAAAATAACTGTTGACAGAGCTGTAAGTTTTGAAAACAAAAAATGACATTCTCTGCTTTTGCCATCTCAAATGTGTCTTTCTCTGTTAGTAACTGAATATCTTTAAATTGTGTGTTTCAATCATTCATATTTGTATATCTGAGCCTACTCCTCTGATGGCAGTCTAAAGTCCTTTGTAAACATCAGTTCAGCAGGAAATGACTTGTTTACCAAGGAATACTTCAAACATAAAGAAGAAAATATGAGTCATTTTCTGGAAAAGGTTCCTTGTATTAGAAAAATATTTAATATGACGCAACACTTCATAAGACTGTGGCCGACCAATGAAATGCTCTTCTTATCAGGCCACTAGCTGATAAACAAGATGAAAGCTGGGCAGGTGGATGGGAGTGGAGAGGGGGCTTTCCTTTAAACAGTCCATCTTCTCAACACATTGTGAAATCCACTGAAGTGATGCAAGAATCCAGTCTTAATCTTACAGTCCTACAGGAACTGATACACAATCACATCAGGTACACACAATGAGGGTGTGTCCAATAGCTACAGTGTATACCTGGCCAGGTTGAGGAAATAACCAAATAAGGCAAACAGGAATAGCCCGGATTTCTGCCCACACCCACTAGCACATTCTCCTTACTGCCCTACTTTGCTAATAGATCACATGCAGGGGCATCTCCCTGGCAAGCAGGCACATGTGCACAATAAACACACAGCTCATCTGCTGTGGGCTGGCTGCCACACTGCAGCACTCTGCTTTGTTACATTGAAACATAGTGCTTTAAACATTACCGACAATTAAAGAAAAATGTCCGTTAAAAATCATCTGGCATAACGGGAAAGAAGTCATATAAACCTCCATTCAAAACTATTAAAGGCAACCTTGTTTCACGACGCTGAAATACCCAATACATTTCAACTAAAATATAAAGACATTATATGAATCTTTAGTCGCCAGTCTTTAAATCGGCTAATATATAATCTACAAAACGGCACTTCATTTTGATAAAATTCCAACTTTTGGGGTTGTTACTGTCGCTTCCGCTCGCCCAGTAGGACAGGAGAGATACCTGCTGGATTACCAAGGTAATCAGATGTAAAAGCTTACATTTTAACCGAGTAAAACCATTTGGCGGATTGCCACCTCGCCGTATTGAAGGGGGAATAGTAGTAATTATTAAAATATAGTTTGCCCCCGAATTATGGATGTGTACCTGTGACAGTTTCTAAGAGCATTTCTAATTGACACATTCTTAAATGGAGATTGGTTCAGCACAGCACAACACCCGGTTTAGAGTTTGAGCATAATTTAGGTTTTATTAGGTTAAATGTTCTTTTATTTCATGTTAACTGTTAATTAACCCCTAACAGTCAACTACAAAAACTTTGGAGCAGTTCACAGTGTTTAAGGGGGAATGAATGAACAAGTTACTTTCTGGAGCGGACGAGGAATTTGGCACCCGGGCTCGGACAGCGTGAGAGCGGCTGACAGATAAATGTGACATTCTGCACAGAGGCTTCTGTAGACACACACTAGCCAACCGGGAAACCCCTCAGTCTAACCCAACTTAATGTCCCCCAGTAGGAAAAACGTGCTGTTAAAATAAAGAATTGAATAGAAAATGTGTGCCACGCTCGACACTTCAGCCCACACAACAGAAAGTAACTTTGAACTTCTGATACACTTTGCTGCCAGAACAAACAGCGACTGAGAGTTTACCAACAGAACGTTAGTTAATGATGGAAGTCGGATTTAACACAACCGTTTATGTTTCTCACTTTCAGGAAATGCTATCCTCACTGGAGCCAAAGTCTTTTAATAACCAACTTCCAGCTGGGCCAAGAGTCAAAGTAAACTTCTGAAAGACACTTTACCTGATATAGTTGGAACTTTGTCATTTTTTAGAGATGGTAAAATCCACACAGTTGACTCATTGAAAAACGCTCGTGCTCCCACTCCAAATCCAGCCGCAGGTGTGACGGCTCGAGGTTGTTGACGTAGGATTTCTGACTGTGGGCGGGGGCACTCGCTGTGGCCCCGCCCACAGTCATTGGACCAACACGGTAAACATACAACAAACAATATTCAGCTCAGGAAGGATTCTGAATCCCACCTGAGTTTAAAGTACAGGTGTATTATCAGAAAAAAGGAGCCTACTTTCTTTATTCTTTATTCTTGGATACCCATCATCATGGACGCCACCAAGGTAGCAGCTACTGTACACATACCACTATAAAAGTCCATACAAAGACACTCAAAATCAATAAAAACAACAACATAGAACCAACTTGTTCCACATTGTGACTGTTCTGTACATTCCAGATCTACACACTGCATCTGTTCTCAATGTTTCTCAGCTTAGCCTGCTAGTGTGAGTATGTCTGTCTCTCACATAATTCATTTGTGAATACAGACAGTTTGGTTGTTCACTATAAGAAATATTCCAAAAGAAACTCTGTAGATTTCACGCCACCCTCTCCTATACTTTGAGCCATGAGAGACTGGCGGGCACTCTTCTCACACCCAACGGACAGGGCAGTGAAAGTCTCACAGCTTTATTCTGAGCCAGTTGGAGCTTGGACAGACCCGACCAGACTGCTGAGCAATAATCAGGGTGAGATAGAACCAGTGCCTGTGTCACTGGCATCTCAGAGGCTGGGGTGACTTCATATTTAATGTATCAAAAATATTTCAATAGTGAGTCCTCTAAAATCCTAAAAGACAGTATTGCACACACGTTATCATCTTGTAAAAGAACATAAAAAAATGATAGACTTTGGCTCTGTATTCCATTTGGATTATCAGTATCGGTACGCTTAAATGTAAGCAGTATTATAAAGTACTGGTTAAAGTGGGGCCAATTTGAAAAAATGATGTATAAACTGTACCTGCATCTGTACAGTACCTGTAGCAGGGGTGCCACCTAGAAAGGGGAGGTCGGGGGGGGGGTCATGGCTCCCTAATGCGATTGCTGCCCTCATGAGTCACATATGAATAGGCTGCTGAGTAATGAGTACTCTATGCATAATTCTCTCTGCTATTTTACATTATACCATTTATGTAAATCAATAAATGTATTTCATCATAGTTTGAAAAAATAATTATAAATGCACAGCCTTGCATTCCTGAATTCAGTCACATCAATGACTCAATTGTAGCTATGATGAATAATAGTAATAGACATGCCTGGATATTTCAGCCAAATGCCCATAATATATATATATATATAATATAGGCATTTGGCTGAACTTTACATTTCTGCAGTATAAACCTTTAAAGGGTTTCTTACCTTCTACTGTACCACTGGCTGCCTCAGTCTCTCTTTGAATAGACCTTTTTATCACAGCAGCCATTTTGACATGAACTAGTGGGGTAAACTCAGGTGTTACCAATGACCACAGACTCAACATTGGGGGGACCAATTCTGCCCAGGGGAATAGTCCTTATTGGAAATACTACAACTAACTTCTTGCCATTCTAGAATATTTGAAAATTCACTAACACATGGAATGAACATTTTATTTACCTTCTTGATATGGAGGCCAACATGAGTCTAGGATTAGACTGTTGCAATGATACAGCCTATGCAACACATACATTCTGGTTTTCAGCCTTTTAATACATTTAAAAAGATGACCATTTCCAAACAAACTGAACGTGGGATGAAGAATACATTTATGTGGGACAATGTGGGACACCTTACCAACGCTGTGAGGTGGTCCAAGTTTTGATCTAATGTCTATGTGACAAAATAAACATTTCAATGCTGCCCCTTAGCTCGTAAAACAGAACAAACTCCCACACTAAGTAAACACAGCAAGTGTAAAAGGAAGCTCAAGTTTCACAGTTCTTATAGTTTGATATTCACCTTCCTTATTGGCTTCACCCGGTGGTTTCATAGTCTTTGTTGTAGCTGCATTTCCTTTTCTTTGTGGTACTTTCCATCATATTCTGCCTAAATCTGCATAGCTTGTGACTGTGTGGTTGTAATTTGAGGTGTAGTGTAGCACAGACGCTGACAGATTAACCTACACTTACTTGACACATGCAGTTTGACTGACATCAAACACGGCCACGTGATGACAGCCTTCCCTGCTTCTACATACTGTCAGTGCTTTCTTCACAGCCGACATACAAAACCAGATTTTAGAAAAGTGTCTGTCCTGCAGTGATTTAACTTTTGAATATTAGTCAAAATGTGGGACATTATCTGGTCACCCTAACTGTAAGAAGTGCATAGAAGGCTGTATGAACTGAGCTTATTAACGTGTGTTTAGCCACCAACATTGACAACAAAGACTGAACCAAGGGGAGCATAAGGGTTGTCTGTTCATGTAATAGAGCTCTGTATTAGACTGATAGCCTGCCTGATATCAAAACACTTGAATAAAAAAATGAGTTTCAACCTGAAACATTCAAATAACATTTTGTGCTCCAGCCTATTGATTTGAAGCAGTATTCCACTTCACTGTCACCGCAAAGTCTTCCCCTAGCTCCACTTAATTTACAAATGTAAAATATGTAAATAAAAACCTCTTCTGCTGTCCATTGTATGTCACCTTGGATATATAAAGGCACGAGTGCTTTCAGGCTGAACGAGGACGGCATCACTAGTGATGTTGTAGTGCAAAGTGAATAACAGTTCCAAGTGGTTCCACTCTGCTGTTAGGCCCGGCAGGATAATGGGGAAAACAGATTATTGTACAAAGCCTCTCATCACAAACTGCATGAAGTCAGCCATCATCACAGTTTTTAGCAAACCTCATTCTCCTTTGTGTGCCAGTTCAACATTATCTAATGAGCAGTTGTCTGCAGCACACAGATATGCAGCCCAACAGGAAGGGATGGGTTCAACTGAACACCCTGAGCTGGGATGTGGAATATGTGACGATGCAGAAGACAGACTGAAGTAAAACTCCATCTTCAGTTTCAGTCTGTCAGTTGTGGTGCTTAGCTAACTGTTCTAGACTCATGGGCAAAGATTGGACTCATAGTTGGGTGACTAATGGTTTCACAGGCTGAAAGGCAGACTTAGAAATAGAGACTGCAGGCACTCTATGAGCCTACTGTGCACTGCAGCTCAACATCTTATTCTTAATTTTGCAATACGTCACTGCATTTCTGTTTTACCAGTTTTATTTCCAGAATCATTCAGAGTCTACTGCGCAGACTCTGCACCGTTTCCCCCTGCACGCTGCTGGAACTTGTGTTTCTGACGATAAGGCCAGGGAGGAGGCTAAAACCTCTGAGCCGCTTTTTCCGAGATAAGACATGAATTTTGCATTAAGATGGACTGAACTGCTTTCTGCTCATCTGTTGCACTCGGGTCAAGATCAATTCTAATGATATGGAAAATATTATTTTTCCCTCTCTTACAGGGTCTTCTGTGGGATCATTTAGACACACAGTGCATGGAATTGTACAAACCTTATCAAAAGGGACAGAGAAAACGGCCTGTAAATAAGGCATCAAGCCTATAATGAAAGTGCATTAAGTAGCACATATGAAACTAAAAGGCCCTGTATGGTGTCAGACAGGAAATGGGCTGTAAAAGAGTTGACTCTACCCAGTGATTTGAGTCAACAGAATGCTTTGTCTGTCATGTTTTTGTCAAGACAGATTCAGTTTAAAACAATTGGAACATAACCACCTTTTAAGGTGATGTGAAACAGAAGTGTGCATCATAGTGAGTGGCATCAAACTGATGGAGGCTTATAAGAGGAAAAACAAATAAATACTCCCCTTTAAGAGTGAATCCACTGACTCTAAATCCACTGAAATACTAAAACATTTTTTTCATTAAAGGACCAGTGTTTAGGATTTAATAGCATCTGGCGGTGGAGTTGCAGATTGCAGCCAACTGAATTCTGCTTGCAGTGGCCGTGAAGAGCCCCGACAGTACCTCCTGCCAAATCAGTACCACACAAAAGGGAAACAGGATGTCTCACTCATTAGCTATTTTAATTGTGAAAACAAAAAGTGTTACGATGCATTTAAAAAAAAGTAGTAGTATCTAGATATTGCATTGATCACATATAATCTTAAATGTTTGTTGACAACAAGGCTCTTCTAATGTATTTAATTAGCAAAACTTGTAGGTGAGGGGAAACACATTTCAACAAACAGCATTAGCAAGAAAAAAAGGGAAATTATTTTATTTTTTAATGTAAAAATTCTGTTTTGTAATAACTAAGGTAACATTAATAATTTAATAATAATTTGCTAAATTAGCTAAGTGGTCTGAAGACTGTGCTTGCTGTCACTACATATGGACATATACTTTATCAGACTGCATCCAGAAGACATTTTTAAAATCAATCAATAACATTCTGAATTCAAAACATTGTAATGATGATGGAAGTAGCTAACTAGTGAGCCATGTTGTTTCCTTCTCATCTCTGCTGAGAGTTGCATGTGCGCAGTACTGATCGGGCAGAAGGTACAGATTGGTCACGGTAAGGCCCTATCTAGAGCCAGTGTTTGGTATGTCCATTCTGGGCTACTGTAGAAACATGGCAGTTCAACATGACAGCCTCTGTAGAAGAGGACCTGCAGTGTCTGTCGATAAAAAACACACTGGTAAACACATGTTTAAGCTGGCAAAGTAATGATACAATACAAGTTTGTCAGATGTGACTTTTTATTGTACTCATAATATTAATTATTAGTGCAGCCAAATCTGTAACTGTAATGAGAGGAGATCACGGCATCATGAAGAAAAGCGTGAGCTCTTAAGTTAAAGCACATAAGTATTAGCAGCATAATGTACTTAAGAGTATCAAAGTAAACATACTCATTATGAACACTGTCCCTAGAGTTATATTTTTTCAAAAATGTATATACGGATTTATTAACATGTATGTGTAAGCAGATTTTGAAACTTGTCATGAAAAATGTTGACTCTCAAATTTGAAGCTAATCTTAACAATTCAGTTCTACTTGTGGGTAGTATAATCTGTAACCAGTTGAGAAAAAATGACTGTGGGAAGCGTGTGAACTAAAGTGCT